ATTTATTTATTTATTTATTTATTTATTTATTTATTTATTTATTTATTTATTTATTTATTTATTTATTTATTTATTTATTTATTTATTTATTTATTTATTTATTTATTTATTTATTTATCTTTTTATTTATTTATCTTTTTATTTATTTATTTATTTATTTGTTGCTTCCCTTTTGTAACATGGGCTCACTATGTAAATTAGGAGCTGCACCAAATAAAAAATACATTTCACTCAAAGACTTATGGATAAAAAAACTTTTGATAAACAAAAAGAAATTAAGTTACATGAACTAAAATAACAAAATATAACAACAACAAAAACATCTAAAAGTAGCACAAAAAAAAATATGAAAACTAAAATATAAGAAGTACACTGGAAAAATATTAAATATTATCTGTATACTTCTTTCTACTCTCCATGGCATCAACTAAGAAATTTTTTGTAAAAGAATTAATTTCGTCACACTGGACTGAATACTGCCTTGTACTGTCACCCAGGATTAAACATAGCACTTATTTGTTTGCTATGAAGTCTTTATGTAAATTTAGTTCGTTTTTGTTACATAGGAGCATTTCAATCCTTTCCATAAGGGTTTTTCTCTGTGCTGAGAAACATTCACAATGTAATATGAAATGCTCAAGTGTTCCTTTTTGCAATACACCCAGTGATACTGTAAAAGTTTTGAAACAGTTTTGTAATTGAATAATTGTGCCATTGTCCCTACAATTTACAAACATGTTAAATGTACATTGATGTAACAGTTGAATCACACACCTTTCGTCTATACACGGTTACTATACGGTATTAGTAACCGTGGTCTATAGATGAATCAAATCATGTTATTTATTATTATTTATAGTAAGAGGTCAATAGTGATTAGTGTATGTTGGGTCCTCTTTTATTCAGTTTCTTTATCATTGAATTAAATTTGACGTTGGTTAGCTAAAGGACATTTAGGGATTCAAATCATTTGCTTTACTTTTTGCAGATGACGTCAGTGACTCAATTCAAACGTTCAGAAATTGATTCATATTTTCTCACAACTGTGTAGCAATTGTCATATGAAAATTAATTTACAAAAATAGTTATGATTTTGCATTGGTTCAATGCAAAATATGCAAATTTTTTTGTGTAGTTATTAGGCCTTTTAAATTTGTAGTTATTTTAGTTGCTTTATTTTACACTATTTTTACCATACTGTATCCATAAGCAGATTACAGTTGCGTAATAAACTATTATTATTATTGAACTGGACATTTTGTTTATGTTTGAGCTTAATTCCATGCCCAAGGGTATGCAGCGAGAAAAAGAACTGCACATTTTGTTGTTTTTGGAGTAACTAGCTGTTTAATGCGACTTTTCCGCTGTTTCATATTCATGAACACGCCACCTTTCCCGTACATGTATAAAGTTGTGTTTTTTTGGTGGAAAGTCAATTGATAAGCATTTTCGAAGGTTCAGTAGTGAATGTTTGCACATAGACGGAATCCAAGGAGAATAAACGCATAGACAATGTTGGAACAGCTTTCTGAAAGTCAAAGTAAACAACATCCGGGCACTGATGCCTAGCCTTAATTTATTTATTTATTTATTTATTTATTTATTTATTTATTTATTTATTTATTTATTTATCAATTAACTGTTTTTTACTTGACTAGTTTCGCTGAACTACCTCCTTGGTTCCCACCATTCACTGTGTAATATGCCTCTTTTTGGCAAAGTTAATTGTTAACTGGTTTTAAATCAGGGGGGAAGCTTGAGGGTGACTCCTCAACCCAAAGGTCTCATTTGCATATTTATATTTACCTGTTTCTTACTTAGGTCTCATTTGCCTTTGTTTTTATAAACTACCATGTATAGGGCTAGTTAACTTAAAGGTCACTTTTGCATATTTGAGGGGGGTGACCAATCATTCGGCGACTGCCTATGGATTAACAGAGGTGGCGCTTTGCGCCGTTATTTAAGCATGGTTTTAACACTCTTAATTCAGTGTTCCTGCATTGCCTGCCTTTGCTGCCAATTTACCTCACCTGCTGCTGCTGCCGGTATCATATGTTTCAATAATGATGAAATACAAATAAATTTATAAATTTACATAATTACGTCATCGTATTGTACAAGTAGATACGTCGTTTTTTGCGTTTCTGGATGAGCTCAGCTTCAATATGTGATGTATCTATAAACAATGGGGAAATATTTTATTATTCACGGGTATCTTCTCATTTCATATAACACAGGAGCCGACACTATCTCCAAGTTTAATATAAGTCGTATTTTTTGTTATGTTACCAGCAATTATGGTAGTAATATCTCCGTACAATAATTTTCAAAATAATTGTGATATCGAATTTATTTTTATTTTTTTTCAAAAATAGTTGATAGCTGATAACTAGTTTGTCACTTATCAATTGTTGAATAATGAAAGGCTTGTTTTAGTGAAATTTGTTCTTCTACCGCGGTATCTAGTAACAGTACTTCTACGAACAATTTCTACTGAGGACGATGGCGGACAAAACTTTTTAATACGAAGTTAAGGGGCCTAAGAGGTGATAGCATTTCAATCAATTACCTAGGTAGTCGATCTGCTCAGCAATGATGGCGGTAAATGGAAATTCGGTTTAGCCTGAGTCTCAGTTACCACCAAATTTGACCATATTATCGAACGTTTTGTCTCAGTAATACGGACGTACGGTGCGGACAACTTTGTTGATACCTCTGTAGTTTGTGGCAACACCGACTTAACGAAGACATTTCACAATCGATCGTCGAAGGAACATCTCGGTGTGTTCTTAGGTGAGTTTTAAAGTTAGCTCAGTTTGACCTGGCACAAGGATGCTAGTGTTTATAAGGGTCACATTGTTCATGTGACCTGCGACCTGCTCTCATCCATGTGCTCGGTACATGTATATGTTGGAATGACGACTGTCATCACTATTGATAGATTCACTCAGCTGGTTATTAATTAACCCATGTTAAATCACGTGACTGTCGACTTTATGTACCATTCGTTACGAGTAACCCATTTATAGTAACATTAAGAGAGATTTTTTCCCTGCCGCGACAATCTTCTGGAAATCCTAATTATTTTAATTAATTATTATCGTATTTAACTTGTCAATTGATAATATTGATGTAAACCTGTACTTATAATATTATTTTAATAGTGCAATAAATAAATCGAATGTAAAAACGTAATCCCTGTCAACGATGGATTTGCTGTAATTTTTCCAACTCACTGTGAGAAACAATTTCCCCCTAATTATTTCTTCTTCTGCTATCGATCTCTGCAGGATTTTTTTCTGTGCAAATTTGCCCCCCCCCCCCCGAGATTGTCCATTGTTATACATGGTCATGCAAAATCTTGTACCAAATTTTCAAGAAAAACATGTTAATTTGACCCAAGTTCATACACAGGATGTACACTGTGAGGAAGAAATAACAACAAAATAAAACCTTTTCAGTTACATCAAAAGTTAAATTTCTTTTGAAACTTAAGATATTGAAATAATACATTTTTTAAAAATAATTGAATGATCATAGATTTTTTCAAATACCATATTTATCCGGGTATAAGCCCAGGGTCTTGAACATGGAAAATTGCCAAAAAGAAGGGGTGGGCGTTTGCCAGGAGATCCCCGGCAAAAAAAAAAAAACGAAAATTCACGAAAATTTACAACACGCAGATCGAACTGCGGCAGGGAATAGAACGGCAAATGAAAACATGCAACGGAAATAAATGAACAACATGCAACATTAGAAGTAAAACAAAAATAATTTATTGCTTATAATGTGGCAAATAAACCAGAAATAATAATGGTTTGAATTAGGATTTTCCCGCCGACAAACACGCCCAACTTGAATACGCGTGAACTCAAAATGAATTAAAATGTCAGGGGTTAAACTGCGTAAAATGATTTCCGGTCTCGACAAATTACGAATCAACCATCATACAAGATCAATAATAATTTACAAATTTACAAAGAAAAAATTATAAAAATTCATAGCTGTTTGAAAAAACTTCTCAGATCTTTATTTGTACGTTCATTGCCATCTTCGTCAAACTCAAAACCCTCAAATGTCCAAGTCGGCGTCACTGTAGCTGTCGAACAAAATCCCTACAACTTATTCCTGAAGTTTGTCGATATCGTCCCACACAATTTGGACTTAGCACTTTTAATCCACGGATTTCGCAGTCTGTCAGCTTGGCACTTTTAATTCACGTCTAATCAGAATAAAGAGACAAGAAAAATTGGACTCGCACGGTGCTTTTGTTTACAGTCTAGCAATCATCTTTGACCTTTATGCATCTGCTTTACCGATTGGCTAAGAATGACATCACTACTAGTATTTCATCATGAAGGTCAAATCGTGACATTGCTTTCTTATCAGACTCGACGCTTATTAATCACGGTGAAAGTTATCATTCAGCAAGTTCCGGCGGTTGGAATGTCTCACTATATGGATATCGCGGCGGACTTGAAATAGAAAGTTTTTTTTTATCCAACGACAGAAGAATAGTTTTCATGACAGAAATGCAATAGCGGTGATAAAAGATGGTAAAAAAGTTGGCAGTCTTCGGCGTGACATTGCAAAATTGCTGGCCCCAGTTAT